AAGAAACGCCAGCCTTCAATCTCTGCCTTCACCTTCTCATGGGCTCCTCCCTGTGTCTGGGTCTCTTTTCCTTTTGATACAGATACCGCTCACATTGAATTAGAAAAGCCCAACCCACAGCCTCACCTTGACTCAGTAATTACATCAGCAGTCACTGGCTTCCAAGGTTAACTTCTGAGGACTGAGGATCACCAGTACTTCCAACTTAAGTGTTTGGGGATGTCGTGCACTTTCTCACACAGTCCAGCTCAGAACACCTCTGTTTGTTTGGGTCTTGTTTTTGTTTTTGTTTTTGTTTTGTTTTGTTTTTGAGACAGGGTCTCACTGTGTAGTTCAGACTGTTCTGGAACTCACTGTGTAGTCCAGGCTGGTCTCGAACTCACAGGGATCCTCCTGCCTCAGCCTCCCGAGTCCTGGGATTATGGGTGTGCACCACCAAGCCCGGCTAGAGCACCTCTGTTTAAAGAGCTGGCATCTGACATGGTTTGGCATGAACTAACAGAGGCCACGCCCCTGTCTGAGGGAGAAAAGATGCCCAGGCTAGTTCCTAAAGTGTGTTGTAGAGCTCTGATGCCCAAAAAGCAAAGGAGCAAAATGAATGATGAAACCAAACATGCTTGAAAAAGCTGGGTCTGTAAACATGGCAGCGATTTCATTGTGAAGGGGCTTCTCGGGCCTTTTAAAAACGCTGACACCCATGTTGGTCTCTAAGGGGAAGTCCACATGACACACAGCACTCTACAAAGACATCTGAAAGCGGGATTCTTCTGGGTCATGTCACAAAGGATCCACTGCTCAGAAGTGGACAAGATCCAGAACTGCCCTCCTGTGGCAGCTTTGCTAAGTGTCTCTGCGTGCACATCAGGCCGGTCACCCCACTCCGGATGGCCAATGCGTGCACCCCCTCTTTATTATGGGGTGTAAGGAGGATAATTACAGGAGTCTCTTCCTGCTCTGACCTCCTGTGACTGTGAGAGTCTATGAAAACTCAGAGGAAAGATGGTCAAAGGAACCGGAACCCACCGCCTTGACAGGATACACACTCACCACCTGAAGTTGGGACAGTTTGACACCCCAGATCCTGTCTGTATTAATTGGGGCTCATTGGATGACAAGCAGCAATAACCCCCTGCAGATAGTTTAAGCATAGAAAAAGGATTAACTCAAGAGACGGGGCATCTCATGGAACTTAAGATCAGTAACTGATGTCAGAAACTCAATGGAATGAGGATGCTAGAAGCCCTTCCTCTGCTTTCCTATTGTTCATTTTTGATTTCTCCCAGTTGTGCTGGGGATTGAACCCAGGGCCTTTGTATTGAGCTATATCTCCCACCTTTTTCATTTTTCATTTGGAGACAGGATCCTGCCAAGTCACTAAATCACCTAGGCTGGGCTCCAACTTGTAATCCTCCTGCCTCAGCCTCCCAGAATGCCAGGATTAGAGGCACCACATGCCACTGTGCCCAGCTCCTGGCCTCTTCTTGTCGCATGTTTTCTTCATTCTTTTCCCCCTGCTAATGACTATCTTCGTCTGCTTCACAGTCCCGGGGTGGAGCAAGGTCTGGTATTCACGAAAAGGAATTGACTTGATCCCAATTAGTTTAGCTCTGAGCCCTGGAGCCATCGCTGCGTTCTGGGTAAACACCTAATCCCATCATTAGGGAAATCCTGAGCCGCAGGTGTCGCAGTAAGAAGGAATCCCACAGAGCACGCAGCTGGATTTCTTCCTTGGACGGGTGGCACGCCGGAGGGTGAGAATGAAGGACTTGCTCAGAAATGCCCATGAACTGGTGAGCTAGAAGCCAGTTCCCTCCAGACTTGGAAACATTCAGCCCCACCGGACCCAGGAAAGAGGGCACTGAGGGAATTGTGGCCTTTCACACACAGCCGGCACCACAGGGCCGGGCCACAGTCTGCTAGGTCTGACTTCTTCCCTCGTGCACGGAAGAGGCCAGGTGGCTGTCACAGCTCTCCCTCTCCCCGCAGATGCATTCCCTGCGCCTCCTCAGCCAGAATCAGCCATCTCAGATCTTCCTGAGCATGAGTGACAACTTCAGGCCCGTGCAGCCACTCAACAACCGCTGCATCCGCACCAACATCAACTTCAGCCTACAAGGGAAGGACTGCCCGAACAACCGCGCCCAGAAGCTCCAGTACAGAGGTGGGTGCCGAGGCCCAGGGCTCCAGCCTTCTGCTTGGACCTGTCTGAAAGGCTCTTGCCCATTAGAGGAGTCAGGACTGGGAGGGAAAATGAGGCCCCCGCTCCCATCCGCATGGTGCCTCTCTGTCGTTAGTAAAGCCCGCCTGTCATGCCTAGAGTGAGTGGTAAACATTCCAAGGTCTGATATATGTGATATGTGTTGGGGGTTTGATGCCACATATAGGAAACCTTTGTATCCCTCTGGCTTGATCAAGACGGCCCTTTTTACTGCCATATTTTAAAAGGAGCCGGAAAGGGTGGTTTCCCCAAGCACATCTGTTAGAACAGGATGCCAGAAGCTTTTGAGCTGTGGGTTATGCGCTCCCTAGAAGGTAGCAATGGCACTGGATGCCAGCCGTCTGGATGCAGTGAGGTTCTAGTGTGTCAGTGAGCCCTTGTCCCCAGAAGTGGTTACCGTTCCTGCACGGAGGACTCATAAAATGACCTCTGCCTCCTGCAACCCTCTGGTCCACACCCAGCCCTCTCTCTCCTCCCCTTCTGCACATGAGGTGTCTGTGGATCACTGTGGCAAAGTCTCAGTGTGGAAAGGGAGGCAGAGGCAGCACAGGGTTTTGTAGAAGTCCTGGACCGACAGGACATTGGAGCTCCAGATGTGCTTCTCACAAGTCGTGCAAAGCCAACCACTTACTCCCGCATGCCTCGCTTCTTCCCGATTGCCCCTGCCCCATCTCCTTCAGAACTCGCTATGAGAGGCAAATAAGAGCGTGGATGAGGAAGCCCTTCGTGACAATGACATACTCCCCACACGCAGGAGCTGCGGTTCCTACCGGGCAGCTTCTAGAAGCAGGTGCCCAGCTGTCCTCCCCACCCTTCACATCGCCCCTCTTCCTTTCCCCAAGTTCCCTCATTCTGATCTCTCTGTCAGACTCCCAGAGCACCTACAATACAGATGATCTGTTCCTACAGAGCCACAGCTACTAGGGAAATAGATACTCATCACTATTGTGCACTTCTAATGTGTCGGGCTCTTGGGCAGGTGGTGGTGATCCAGGGCGATGAAAACAGAAGTGGCTCTAACCATACAGAGCTCATGGTCCAGACCAGGAGCCAGGACACTGTATTTGGTAGTGGGATAGCAAGCAAATATCTTAGACTTTGTGGGCGATACAGTTTCTATCCCACTCTGATGAGTCAGCATGAAATCAGCCACAGATAATATGTGAGTAAATAGGTCGGTAGTGCTCCAATAAAACTTTATTTACAAAAGAAAAAAACAGATAATGTGCTGGTTTGGGGCTGTGGGCTGAAGTTTGCTGGGTCTGGTCTAGACCAGCCACCAGCTAGAACTTTCTGTGATGACAGAAACAGTCCATACCTACGTTGTGAATAGAGCAGCTAGTAGTCATTGTGTGGCTACTGAACATCAGGACCGTGTCTGGTTTGGCACCACAACTAATTTTGTTTAGTTCATTTGCCTTTATGGTGACCATATGTGACTGGTGGTTACCATATTGGATGGCACAGTCTAGAGGGTCATGGGAAAAGAAGAAGTCAAGAAACAAATAAGTAAGCACTTAAAAGACAGCCCCTTCAACTTTGCAGCCAGCCCCCCAAACTGTGTGTAAATTAATTCAATTGTGCCTTGTTCTGTGTGGTGTGTATGTGGTTTTGTTTCTTCTCTTTCCAGTAAATGAATGGCTCCTCAAGTAGGGAACTAAGCCAAGAAGAATCCCACCTCAGTGAAATGCTACAACTGTGAATTGACGTAACCTAGAATGTTCCCCTTCTTCCTTCTCTCCTTCCTTTCCCCAAGCCTCTTTCATTCTTTGGTTTGGCCCCCTTCTTCATAAAAAGTGCGTGCAAAACTATGGCAGAGGAACACATCTGTTATACACAACTCCCAAACACACACACACACACACACACACACACACACACACTCATGCACCCTCCATGCTGGAAAAACAAGTTTCAGAAACAAAAGACTCATTCATCAGAAGTCTTAGAATAAAATAACCAGTTAACCTGATTACAATTTTGATACTGTTTTCCTGAACTAAGAAACCTACCCCGTGAGACTTTTCATTCTTTGTACATACAAAATTCTTCCCAATGAGAGAGAAGAGAAAGCACAGCTCTGAAAGCATCAAGTGGACTTTGCACCAGGCCATCTCCAGCAGTGTCCTCGGATCCTTGCAGGATGCTGGCAACAGGTGAGCCAGGACAAAGCCAACCAAGGACACTTATTTCTAGATTATGGTTCTTCTGTTTACTCAACAATTAAAAAAAAGAAAAAAAAAACAAAGGACAGACGTCGAAGAGCTACACATTGTATATATATCACCGCAGACTATACAGAAATGGAATTATTTCCCTCTTTGTCACATACCTGTAGTAGGATTTACCAAGATCAGAACTGATCCATTTGCTGTTTGTTGTTTTCCAAAGGTCATACGTTGTGTTTGGTTATCGTTAACAGCTCAATAAATGTATTTAACAAGTTAATTTCATTTTTCCAGCTTTGATCTGTTCTCCTTCCTTCCAGGCTAAGCCCTGGCTCCATGCAATTCCATCCTTTGCTTTCATTTGTTCCTCCAGCTCCATGTTCTGTTCATCGCAGCCAGTTTTACTGAGTTTGTGGCAATCAGGAATGCATTTGCTAAGCAAGTATAACTTTAATTCCACTCCATGGCTCGATTATTCATTCAAGGTGAGCTTCAGCCTGACATAGCAGGCGACAGATCTCTCGCGTTTCAAAACTGCCACCCCCCTGTGATGCTCCCGTGAAGGAATGCACTTTGCCTTGTAACTTCCTGGGAAAGGGTGTCTTTTCTCTCCAGGTGCAGCCAGATCTCACAAAGTACAACGAATGCCTTTCTTTTCTTGTTTATAATGGTCACTCACTGTGTTTGGTTACTGTCAAAAAAAAATCAATAAATGTGTTTAACAAGTTACCGAGGACCGCGTCTGAGTTTATTGGACACTCCCTGCTGCAGTCTGTGTCTTGTTGGGTCCACCGGCTATCGCATCCAGCTGGTGGAGGGGCAGCCAGGGCCTCCAGAGTGGTCAGTCTGGCCGTTCCCAGGGCCAGGTCATTAATAACCCGCGGAGAAGACATCCAGGCTCAGCTGGTGGAAGGGGAGACTCGGGTGTGTGTTCAGTGGCCAAATTAGAAATAACTTTCCTTTCCTTGCTGTCACAAGCTCCAGGAAGAGGGAAAGCACAGGCACGGAGAGGCTGTGCAAATGGAAACATTCGCAAGCAGATTGAAAACTTCACTTAGTGACAAGATACACTAACAATGAAAAAAGTCACATAGCCAGTTAGCTCATGATTGAATAATACTACCCGGACTTCCGTGTTCATGTTCAGCATCCATGTGAGTTATAGGACCGCTTTAGCCATAATGGTATCTAAGCCTATTTCTAAGCAGTTCTACTCGAGCCTGGGGGGTCTAGCTCAGTAGTAGAGCACTTGCTTAGCTTATGCAAAGCAGGAGCTCAATCCCCAGGACTAATGGGGGAAAACAAAGACTACAGACCTAAGCAATTGCATCGATCCAAACTAGATACTCACAAAGGTTGGGGAGGTGGCAGTCTTTTTCTGTCTGGGGCAGCTTCTTCTCTGCGTCTGAATCTTCCCTAGTCTGCAACGGGTGGCAGGAACACCGTATGATGCTTAAAGAAAATGAATAGTAAATCAACTTCACTCTGGCTCTCGGCTGCTGTGGGACCCTAGGCAAGTTTCTCTACTTCTCTGATCTACACAGTGGAAGTGCTAAGAAGGGCCTTCACGAGTTAGGAGACGTAAAATGCTACATCACTACTTCAAGCAGTTAGCACAATCCCTGCACCAACTGTTCTCTAAAGGAGCAGTTGTGCCAGCAGCTTAAGTGAATCCCACCGCAGTACCCTCTCCAGGCATGCGCCAGCATCAGTCACAAGGACGGCACCAGATTAGTATCACACAAGAGCAACAGATACGTGATACTCTGCCAAGGGGACAAACGTGCTCCTTCCCTACAGCCCTGGGCTTTGCAAGCCCTAACAGTGCAGATACAGGCACTTGGCCCTCAAAGCACACAAGAGTAGTAAAGATTAGCTAAGTATCATTCTCCCTCTCCTCTCAAAAACTTAAAGTACCAAAGTCCCCTGGGACGTAGCCTGGGAGGACATGAAGGAGTAAAAAGCCCATGGGTGCATTCTGTGGTTGGAGGACTTGAGAAGGAGTGAGTAGCAATCCCATCGCATGTACAGCCTGTCCCCTGGCATCAGAACCTAGGTGACAGGAGAAGGTATTTAGAGCTCCCTCCTCTAGGACACAGCACAGGAAAGTTAACATCCACACAAGAGAGTTCCTGGCAAATTAAATCGGAAAATACAGTGTAGAGAGCCACAGCCCCCTTTGGGAGAACATTGTGTGGTTTCCGAGGCCATCCCACCTCCATGGGCAGTCTGGTTTCCATGGTAATGTCAGGAAGACCACAGCTCACTGCACTCATGTATGTGGAATGCAGTGCAGGACGGCGTTAGGACAACGGTGAGCAGTCCTCTGTCACAGCCCACACTCTGGAGGACGGACCACGTCAGGCTGCAGAGCACAGACCACATGGGCAGCACCCGGCAGCAGCCCAGGGTGAACCTTCCCACTGGGCCCGGCGCGTTTGCAGTACAGGAGGGTGCCTAGGGTTCTGGTTCCAGCAAACCTCAGAGTGGGACCTGCGGGAGCAGAGCCCACTGTAAGGCATCCAGCAGCTGGCAGATGGAACATAAGGAAAGTTCTGCCAAAACCCCAGCTGAGGAGACATCCCAATAAAACCCACCCTGGATGGCGCATTTCCTGTGGCTCGAGCCCTGTGCTAAAGCTCTTAGCAATGTCTTCTCATTTCATGCACTCAGTCACCCAAGACACAATTGCTGCTGCTGTCCTTGTGTTATAAACGCAGAAATAGGCTTTCTAAAGACCAAGTGGACAGCTGCAGGGTCACCCAGCTCATAAGCGATAAAGCCACACCTAACTCTTCAAAGCCATAGTCTCAACCATCAGCATCTTTCGGGGATGGTTCAAATGCAAATTTTTAAGACTCCACCACAGACCTGTTGACAGGAGGCAGCTGAGCCCTAGCCTTTTTCCTAACCCATATAAGGTGATATCTTTTAGTTTGGATTTCCATTTTCCCTGATAATTAGTGATGTTGATCATCTTTTCATAGGTCTGTTGGCCACTGCTATGTCATCTTTTGAGAAATAACTATTCCGGTCTTTTACTCATGTTTTAATCAGATTATTTGGGTTTTTGCAATTGATTTGTGAAGTACTAAATTAATCAGTCCAGACACAAAAGAACAATGCTACATGCCCCCATCCATGTTGGGAAGCAAAAATATTCAAAGTCATAGAAGGAAGGGCAGAACCCTTCAGAGGTGATGATTAAGTTTCAAATTCATTAAGATGTGTACATTAAATATGTATAGCTTCTTTTGCACAAAAATCACACCTCAGCAAAAATATATAATAATACTTTCAAATAACTTCCTGAAAAGCTTTTGAAAAATCCCAAAGCCCAGATAGTACTGCATACCACCTAAATCTGAGGGTAGCAGACAGGCTTCAGTGTTTTTGAATTATCTGCAGATAATTCCAAGAAGCAGCAAAGTCTGGAGCCTCCACTGTTGTCTAAAAGACTTTCTCAAAGAATGGCTGACCCCTGCTGAGTTTCCAGCCGGCCAGCAGGATCTTTCAGAATCACACCCTCATCCCTGTGCAGACTGTTACCGATGGTCTTGGAACATTCCCCAGCCCCCTATTCCTTCCCAAATCTTCAGTTAACAGATGCAGGGTTTGAATAACAAATTCTCTCTCTC